CTTAATAAGGCCCAAAATGGTTGTGTCATCTGCATATTTGATGACGAGTGAGCTGTCCTGAGTGGAGACGCAGTCATGTGTGTACAGTGTATAGAGCTTTGGGCTGAGGCAACAGCCTTGGGGGGTGCCTCTGCTAATTGTCATATTTCCTGATGTTAACCCTCCCATCTTTACCACCTGCGGTCTGTTCAAAAGAAAGTCCAAAATCCAATTACAAATAGAGGCCGGCAGTCCGAGGTCTGTTAACTTCACAATGAGTTTTGCAGGGCGGATGGTGTTAAAGGCGGAGCTATAGTCTAGGAATAGCATCCTGACATATGTTTTATTGCAGTCCAGATGTTGAAGTATGTGGTGTAAAACAAAGGCCACTGCATCGTCCACTGATCTATTCGGGCGATAGGCAAACTGTACTGGATCTAAAGTGTCTGGGATGTAGAAATTTATATGAGTTAATATCAGCTTTTCAAGGCACTTCATGGCAACTGGTGTTAGGGCTACAGGCCTGAAGTCATTCAGGGTGGCAGTGTCAGGTTTCTTCGGAACTGGTATCACAATGCTGGACTTGAACAGATGTGGAACTACCTCTTGTAACAGGGACTGGTTAAAAATGTCTGTGTACACACCTGCTAGTTGCTCAGCACAGGCCTTCAGGACTCTGGGTGACACTCGGTCAGGTCCCACAGCCTTGCGGGGGTTGACCTGCTTCAGAGCCTTTAGCACCTGTGTGTGTGTCACCTGTAAAGCGGTGTCCTCAGCATTATGGGGGAGTTTGGAGGGTCGTCAGTAAAATGACGTCAGTAAAATGACGTTTGAGGGCTGGTCAAGTTGTTCGCGGGCGGACAACGTACAACATAGGTGGGTATTATGCAAATGTATTTTCTATTGATGTAGAACCATTACGCAGTAGGATTCGAAATACAAACAACTCGTAAAGGCGGATCAGAGTCGATTCTTTCTTTTGGGAGACAATAAATTTAACTTTATTTATCGTGCAATTTTCGATTTTGCAACTTTGCAGAAGGTTTACATTCACAAATAGCTATATTACACACAGGTTCTGTTCCAGGGTTAGTTTATTTGGTGTTTAGCGCATACGTGGCCTATTGATGATGCTTCAGTATGCGCGACAGATAACGCACAATATAATGTATAGTTATATCGATATTGGCCACACATTACAGTGTGTGTATATATATATATATATATATATATATTAAGTGCAAAAGAAAAAACTCGATGAGCGCCTTCACGTCAGAGTCTAACTTTCTTTTCCGATTGTCGAGATGTGTCGAGGTGTCGAGACTGTGAAAGAAGCCGTTCTCATCCAGATTATCGAGCCCTACTGTGTATAATTTTTCCTCTATCTTGGGCTCGAAAGAGAAAGGCTATGGGATGATGCCGCGGGTTGAAGAGACATTAGCAGCATATCTCTTACCCTATGCTGCGTCATCCCTTAAGACTCCGACGCTGCCCACCAAACCCTGTCGTACAACATCTGTATTGGTGGGCAAGGCATATATGGCGGCGGGTAGGGCTGAACGATTTTGGAAAATATTCTGGGAGTCACGATCCAAATCCAAAACGATTATTGACTATTGTCAACCCCGAGCAAGGTCGGGTGAGGGAGGTCTTTTAGCAAAGGAGGCCATAGATTGTGTTCCTCCTCGCAAAAGGGAAGCCGGGGTTCTATAGCCGGTACTTTATAGTTCCCAAAAAGGGTGGGGGGTTGCGACCCATTATAGATCTCAGGTTATTGAATCATTCTCTAAGGAGATTCAGGCTTCTGGCGGCAGCATCTAACATAATACCTTTTGGCCTGCTGTACATGAGACCCCCACAGTGGGAGCGCCGTGTCAGTGGAAAATCATGACTATGGACGCATCCTTCACCGGCTGGGGAGCGGTCATGGAGAGCCGCTTCACCAGAGGTCTATTGAGGGACCATCATCTTTCATGGCACATCAATTGCCTGAATATTTTGTCTGTGTTTCTGGCTCTGAGACATTTCCTGCCGGACCTCAGAGGCCATCACGTTCTAGTTTGAAAGACTATACGTTGGTGGTCTCTTATATAAATCAGCAGGGGGGCCTGAGGTCCGCCCTCTGTACAGACTGGCATATCTGGTTCTCCTGTGGTCCCATGGCAAACTACTCTCAATGTTCATTCCCGGGGACGGAAATGTGGGGGCAGACATCCTGTCGAGGCAGGGTTTGCTTCTGGCAAGCCCTCCATGGCAGATTTCAATAAGGAGGGTCCTTCTATCTCAAGCTGAGGGCTCAATACACCACCCCTCGGCCGGAGCTGTGGAAGCTATGGGTCTGGCCCCTGAGGGGGACCAATTCGTAAGTGCTGGTCTCTCAAGCGAGACCATCTTAAACTCTAGAGCTCCCTCCACGAGGAAACTTTATGCCTTAAAGTGGAATATCTTCGTTTTATGGTGCAGAGAACACCAGCTTGACCCAATTAACTGCCCAGTGGCTTCAGTGATGAAGTTCCTCCAAAGTCATTACTCTGATGGGCTTTCCTCGTCCACACTGAAGGTCTATGTGGCGGCCATAGCTGCCTTCCACACGCCTTTAAGCGATGGTCCTGTGGGGAGGCACCAACTAATTGTTTGTTTCCTTCGTGGTGCTCGGAGGATGAGGCATGTCGTCCATGCCAGGGTTCCTGTTTTGGACCTGGCAGTGGTCCTTGAAGGGTTATCCCTGGCACCCTTCGAATCCACTGATGAGGTGTCGGAAAAGTTTCTCTCTTTCAAAGTGGGCTTCCTGCTAGCTATTATGTTCCTCAAGAGAGTTGGGGACCTGCAGGCACTATATTTTGCTCCCTTTAGCCTCGAGTTCGCTCCAGGAAGACTAAAGGCCATTCTTCACCCTAGGCCAGGTTACGTGCCCAAGGTTCCATCTAATGTGGCACGGTCTGTTATCTTGCGGCTGATGTGGCGGCTGATCAGGAAAAGCTACATCTAATATGCCCTGTCTGGATTTTGGAGACCTATGTGCTTAGGTCCTTGTGCTGGAGGAAGTCGGACCAGCTACTTGTTTGTTTTGGGTCACTTAAGAAGGGTTCCCCTGCCTCTAAGCATACAATTAGCTGGTGGATTGTGGAGACTATTTATTCAGCATATGAGGCGTAAACTCTGCCTTCGTCTCTCCTCATAAGAGTCCACTCGACTAGAGAACTGGCATCATCCAAAGCCCTGCTATCGGGGGTTTCCCTTCAAGAGGTCTGTAATGCTGCTGGCTGGGCTTTCCCACACACTTTCATAAGTATTACAGCCTGGATCTGCCCTCCACGGTGCCAGACAAGCTTCACATCAGGACAGGCACTAGTCATTGTGGCGCAGTGGGTATTTTTTTTTCCCCAAAGTGCCGTTATCGACGCAGCGCGAGTTCCCTTGAAAGGGAACTTCTCTGGTTACGATGGTAACAGTACGACGGTGATGAGACACACCTCCTGAGTGCCTGAGAACAACTTGTTTCGACCTATTAGATGCTAACACTGTTATGTGCCGGCTTCCCTTTGTAGCTTCTGTGTACTCCGTCAACTGATGTCATGATGCATCACCACACTAGTTCCACACGTGCTTCAGACGCTATCCCGGCGTTCCCCAAAGCGTCGTCCCTTCTCAGGGAACAAGGTTTACAGTCGTAACCCAAGATGTTTTTTGTGTGTTGGTTTTCTGATCTGGTTTTGATTTGGTTTTTAGTGTGTTGCTATACAGTTGGTAAGTCTGTCTGGTTTAGCAAACATAATTAGTAATGATGTGATCATATGAAAAATGTTATGTGTTATAAATTAGATTGACTGATTTCCACTACACACAATTTTATTATTCATTATATTAATTTTATACCTTTATTCATTCAATTTAAATACAAATATTTTAAATCCTATAATGCTATCATTTAAAATAAGTAGCTGAAACACATGCTTATATAACCATGACATGAGATATCACCAAACATTAATAATTCTTTTACATTCTCCACAAAAAAATCAAATAAGATTCAAAGTGTGTTTAAATTACATAGTGTTTGCATACCTGAGAGGAAGAGAAATAGTAGACGTTGTTTGCCAGTGACATGCTTGAGCTGGCAATCATTTATTCCAAACCCTGCCTCTTTCTGGCCACTTTGAAGCTCTCGTCCAATCAACTCTGCCCTAAAGGTTTACGTGAAAGGCAGAGGAGCAGGAAGAGATGAGGAGAATGTAAAATCAACACCACCATCAGCACAAACAAACACACTCGTACAAGCGCGTACATGCATCAGAGAAGCTGTGGGGCTGGAAAAACAGCTTTGGAAAACACGTTACTGCGGAGCTTTCCTATGCAAACACCAGTCGAAACAGGAACTATAGTGGGAAATCTTTTGACTGTAAACTGAGACCGTGTCTGTGTTTGGTATTTTTGACTTACCAATCTTTGGAGTTTCAGGAATAAAATATCCTTAGCAAGGTAAGGACACATTTCTTGTTTGGCTTGCTAGCCTGCTGACAGCCAGTGACGCAGAACATATGCTGGTTTTCCTCTTATCTCTGTGTGTGGTGGACACAAAGAGATTGTTTTATGTCATGCGTTTTGCTAATGGTCAGATTACTAATCTAAGACCTTTTTACTAGTCAGATGCCTCATATTTCTCTTTAGAGATGTTTTGCCTGAAGCATTAAATAGGACAAAACAGGAATTTTGAATTCATGCTCATATAATGAACCTCTTGTGACCATGGTGACTGCCCTGTCCTTCAAATTCCTCATGAAGATGATCGTCGTGTGATTTGTTGCTTTGGCAACTGATCTCGACAGGCTTTGAACGTGCGTGAACATAACACATCAATTTCAAAGGCAGAAGCAGAATAAACAATTAATATTAAAAGAACAAATGAAAGAGTGTATGAAGTAATAAATAATTAAGCACGTTTAAAAATAAATATAAAATGAAAATGTACAAATTGTACCCGGAACAAATCTCACATGGTCATTTGTTTGTGTTTTTTAAAGGTTGAATGACTCCATGTTGGAAAACCACATGGAGAACGACGCCAACTCTGACAAATCGGAGAGGGAGACGCATGAAGACTCAGACAATGCAGCCAATGAGAATGGAGGCAGATTGACTGAGGAAAGTGATATGGACCAATCAGATGACGTGTGCCTCCAGGCAACAGCATTCGTCGAAGAAGCCCATGAAGAGATGGGAGAGGTGATAACTTAATATGGCTTTATCACAGTCTCTGTTTGGCCTGAATGAACTGCTTTGTCTAAGCAGCACAAAGTTAATTGTGTTTCGGTTATATGCAGTGATTGTGTTTTTTGAAAATTGTGTTTTCCTGTAAATGAAAACTAGCTAAAACAAAGAGAATTTTTCAGCTTAAAAATACCTTTAAAGTCCCTGTAAAGGCAATTTCAAAAAAAAATTCTAAACACATTATAAATGTTAGAAATGTATTGCTAAAACATATTACAAAGACTGTGAACTGTGAAGTACTGAATTGTGGAGTTAGACCGTTAAACAGTTTTTCACCATTGCTATTTTCCGGATTTTCTGGGCGGGGCTAAAACAGGGCTCGATGACGCACTGGAGCCCTTGAGCTCCTGGACACGCCCCTACTTGATGACGCACTGAGGCCACTGAGGCTGGCCGCTCCTAACAATATTATAGAGCACATTCACATCAGTTTGCCGCTCAATCGCGAGTTACTGTCAGTACTATTATTAGTAACACAGCCTACAGATTGCTAGCTACTAGCTATGCCTTCGTCACGGAAATGCGTACTACCTGGAAGCGATCACCGGATCACTTACAAAACAGATCGGTGTCCTTGTTTAAATTTCCGAAAAACGATTACATCAAGAAGAAGTGGATTAATTTTGTGAAGAGCCAACCTTGATGGAGAGCTGAGGATCACCGCCAAAACCCGCCTCTGTAAGTGATCATTTTACACGGGATAGTTTTATAAACTTTCGTCGGAGATAACTGTCTGGGATTCACTGATAATCCGCTGTTACTGGTGAATGGGGCCGAACCGACTCCTGTAGAGTTGGGTGTGGCGAGTCGACGGCAGCTTTCCCGCGAGTGGGCGTGGTTTCAGCGCAGCCAGTGGACACGCCCCCAGCGTTTGAGAGCAGTTATTACTGCTCATTTTTTCAAGATTTTGATAGCTTATTTTATGTACTTGCTGGCTTTTTTTATCATTCAAATTTGGCTGGGTGACTAAGAACACATTTTTCTGTGGTGTGACAAACTCAAAACACATACTTAATTTTGACTTTACAGGGACTTTAAATAGGGCATTATTAGAGGGAACAACCATTTGTAGTGGTGTCTGAAACCATAGTGGACGTTATTGCGTGCACTCATTCAATCCCACAATGCACCGCAATAATGAGCATACAACCGATCTACGCTCAACAGCTAGAGAATACCCATAAAGCACTGTGAGAGTCGTGCGCCAAATAAATTCCCAAATTCTGACCAGAAGATGGCTCCTGCAGCTGAATCATCCATCTATTCATTTTCCAAACCGCTGGTCCAAGGTGGCTACAGCGTAATGTCGAATACCTTTTTAATTGGTTAATTGGCCACCTAGTATTAATTAACCTCTTGTTTATTAACTGTTGAAACCAAATCAATATCGTGTTTGCAGTCATGCTTATAATCGGGAAAACAGCACTCTTCCTTGTATGGTAGCCTATTGCTTATAAATATAAAAATCAAGAACTCATACAGGGAAATTTTTTGTCCCATACCTTGAATTTTGAGGTCTTTTTTATCAAATTTGGTGGCATTTGTGCCCTAAGCCCCCGTTAATTTCCCGTGTTTCTGGTGTGTGAAGGCGCCTTTTGTTGCGAAGCCCATTTTAAGTGAAACTGCTGAAATATAGCAAAGACTATTAAAGACAATGGGTATCTTTTTTTAACAGTTGAATTAACATTTTACATTTTTGCATTTAGCAGATGCTTTTATCCAAAACGACTTAGTGGCATTCAGTGTAAATATATATATTTTCTGTTGTCATCACAGGCTGGTGAGGCGTCCCAGGTCGAGACAGTCTCAGATGAGAATAAGGGTTTAATTTGGACTCTCCTGAAGCAGCTGAGGCCAGGGATGGACCTGTCTAAAGTGGTTTTGCCAACGTTTATCCTGGAGCCGCGTTCATTTCTGGACAAGCTGTCAGATTATTATTACCATGCTGACCTGCTGTCCCAGTAAGCACCTCATTAGCATCACTACTGCAGCCAGCCGCATTTTACTAAAACTAGCATTGTTAAGGTTCACGGGGTTTGTTGGAGAAGAGATAATCATCATATATAATTTGGTTTTAGGGCTGTGACGGAAGAGAGCCCATACTGCAGGATGAAGCAGGTCTTGCGCTGGTATCTGTCAGGCTTCTACAAGAAACCAAAGGCAAGTTGGGTGAAGTGCAAATTTTTGGATTGAGATTTGAGAATCATAAACCAGTTCACAGTTTCCATACATGGAATTGTATGCTCATTTTTGGGATATCTCATAAAGAAACTGGATGAAAACACCAAAATATCGTTCAAAAGTTTGGGGTCGGTAATATTTTAAATATGTTTTTGAAAAAAGTGCCTTATGCTCACTAAGGCTGCATTAATTTGATGAAAAATATAGTAACTAAAAACAGTAACATTTTGTGAAATATTATTACAATTTAAAATAACTGTCCTATTTTAATATATTTTAATGTAATTTATTCCTGTGATGGTAAAGCTGAATTTTCAGCATCATTACTCCAGTCTTCAGTGTCACATGATCCTTCAGAAATCATTCTAATATGCTGATTTGCTGCTCAAGAAACATTTGTATTATTATCAATGCTAAAAAGTTGCTTAGTGTGGAAACCTTGATGCTTTTTTTATAAATAGAAAACATTTGTTAAATTATAATTGTCCCTACTGTCTCTTTTGGTCAATTTAATGCACCCTTGCTAACTAAAAAATTGTTTGTTTTTGTTTGTTTTTTTAAGTCTTACGGGTGTTCATTTGTATGTCTTTCAGGGTCTGAAAAAACCATACAACCCTATTCTAGGAGAAATGTTTCGATGCTGTTGGCTGCATCCACAAACAGACAGCTGTACATTTTACATAGCAGAACAGGTGAGACTCTAGAATCATGTGGCTTTAAAAAGTGTTTGGACTGTCACACTCACACTCAATGACATTGCATTAAAGGGTTATTTCACCCAAAATTGTCATCAATCATGTTGTCTCACCCTTATGTTGTTCCAAACACGTAAGACTTTTGTTCATCTTCAGAAAACAAATGAAGAGATTTTTAATGAAATCTGGGAGCTTACGGTCCCTCCATTGACAGCTAAGCAACTTTGACGCTTCAAAAAATTCATAAAGAGATAGTAAAACTAATCCATATGAATCAAGCAGTTTAGTCCAAATTTTCTGAAGAGACTCCAGCGCTTTATATGATAAAAAAATTGAATTATTCACATATTAACATTGATCAGAGAACATAAACAGTGCTCAAATGTACTTGTTTAACGTGCGAGAACAAACCCCATTGGTTCTCACTGAAGCTCAAACGTGCTGCGTAACACGAGAATGAACCTCATTGGTTCTCGCTGAAGCTCAAACGTGCTGCGTAACACGAGAATGAACCTCATTGGTTCTTGCTGAAGCTCAAACGTGCTGCGTAACACGAGAATGAACCTCATTGGTTCTTGCTGAAGCTCAAACGTGCTGCGTAACGAGAATGAACCTCATTGGTTCTCGCTGAAGCTCAAACGTGCTGCGTAACACGAGAACAAACCTCATTGGTTCTCGCTGAAGCTCAAACGTGCTGCGTAACGAGAATGAACCTCATTGGTTCTCGCTGAAGCTCAAACGTGCTGCGTAACACGAGAATGAACCTCATTGGTTCTCGCTGAAGCTCAAACGTGCTGCGTAACACGAGAATGAACCTCATTGGTTCTCGCTGAAGCTCAAACGTGTTGCGTAACACGAGAATGAACCTCATTGGTTCTCGCTGAAGCTCAAACGTGCTGCGTAACACGAGAATGAACCCCATTGGTTCTCGCTGAAGCTCAAACGTGTTGCGTAACACGAGAATGAACCTCATTGGTTCTCGCTGAAGCTCAAACGTGTTGCGTAACACGAGAATGAACCTCATTGGTTCTCGCTGAAGCTCAAACGTGTTGCGTAACACGAGAATGAACCTCATTGGTTCTCGCTGAAGCTCAAACGTGTTGCGTAACACGAGAATGAACCTCATTGGTTCTCGCTGAAGCTCAAACGTGTTGCGTAACACGAGAATGAACCTCATTGGTTCTCGCTGAAGCTCAAACGTGTTGCGTAACACTAGAATGAACCTCATTGGTTCTCGCTGAAGCTCAAACGTGCTGCGTAACACGAGAATGAACCTCATTGGTTCTCGCTGAAGCTCAAACGTGCTGCGTAACACGAGAATGAACCCCATTGGTTCTCGCTGAAGCTCAAACGTGCTGCGTAACACGAGAATGAACCTTATTGGTTCTCGCTGAAGCTCAAACGTGCTGCGTAACACGAGAATGAACCTCATTGGTTCTTACAAAAGCTAAAACGTGCTGCGTAACACGAGAATGAACCTCATTGGTTCTCGCTGAAGCTCAAACGTACTGCGTAACACGAGAATGAACCTCATTGGTTCTCGCTGAAGCTCAAACGTGCTGCGTAACACGAGAATGAACCTCATTGGTTCTTACAAAAGCTAAAACGTGCTGCGTAACACGAGAATGGACCTCATTGGTTATCTCACGTCAAGCAAGCATTATTGAGCTTCCATTTGTTCATCATATAAAACGATCAAGTCTCTTCAGAAAATAAACTGCTCAATTCATATGGATTCGTTTTATGATCTTTATATGAACTTTTTAAAGCGTCAAAATTGTAGATGCCTGAACTGTCAATGGAGGGACAGAAATCGCTCAGATTTCATTAAAAAGTATTCACTTGTGTTCTGAAGATGAACGGAAGTCTTACAGGTTTGGAATGACGTGAGGGCGAGTAATTAATGACAGAATTTTCATATTTGGGTGAACTATCCCTTTAAATACAAAGTATCAATCCAAGTGGCATTTTAAAACTATATACTGATATTAAAACGAGTATTTGGACACTATCTAGTGAATCTTAATGTAGTGAACGGTATTGCTAGGACATTTGTCTTGCTGTGCAAATATTGTAAACATGACTACAATCTCTGTTGGCAATGGAAACCGATAAGCTCGTCTGATAAGCAGTTCACTTTTGAACTTTCAGGTTTCTCATCACCCTCCTGTTTCAGCCTTCTATATCAGCAATAAGAAAGATGGATTCTGCATTAGTGGAAGCATTCTGGCCAAATCCAAATTTTATGGTATGTAAATTTCATGCTGAAGTTCAAATACAGGCATACAGAGATTTCAACACACAACCTTTGTGCTTCTCTTGTTTGATACTGGTTATAACCTCAGTGTCATTTCTTAAAGGGAACTCGCTGTCTGCGATACTAGATGGAAAGGCCAGGCTCTTGTTTTTGCCCCGAGATGAAGAGTACATCATCACAATGCCATACGCTCACTGTAAAGGTGATGGACTTCAATCTGAATCTAAATTTCATAATTAAACCATGCTGAATTTTGAACTATGGCTTAAAGGAATATATTTTTTTGTAATCGTAACTAAAAAATAAATAAATAATTGTATCATTATTTACTCACCATCATTTTATTCCAAAACCATATTATAATATTTTAGTTCTTTTTTGGAATGATTTTAAGGTGAGTGAATAATGAGAAAACTTTTAATGTTTTCATGAAACATTAATAAACAGAAACTGTGAATTTCTTACAGGTATTCTGTATGGTACAATGACTTTGGAGCTTGGTGGGAAAATCACAATTGAGTGTGAAAAAACACAATGTTATACAGAACTTGAATTCAAATTGAAGGTATTCTGGAGTTCCAAACCTCACCAATGACACTTCATTTATTTTCTTTCATCATAATCTTACAACTGTTGTCTTTCTCTCTGTCCCAGCCTTTTCTTGGCAGCTCGTGCAACGTTAACCAGATTTCTGGAAAGATACGCATGGGGGAAGACGTTCTGGCTACAGTAGATGGCCACTGGGTAGGAGAATTTTCGGATACATAAAAGAAAAGTCCACATCACCAACATTTCCTCAATTCTTTTAAAATATTTGAAATAATACATTTTAAAGGGGTCATGGCATGGATTTTTTTTATTATTTTAATGTTCCTTGAGGTTCACTTAAAATGTTAAGACTAAGCATTATCAAATCACTTACGGTTTTGCCGCTGCTGTCAGATCCAATACAGTTGGATCTTCATCTTTAAAAAAAAAAGCTTCTTTGCAAACTCTCCATTAAACTGTTTACAAAGCATATAATCCTCCGACACGATCCAGGACACCGTTAAAATAAACTATCCGCTTGTTTCCGACGCTGGGATCCTTCTAAAGTCTGTATGAGCTGTTGAAACTGGACGTGCGGAAAAAAAACAAAAATAACGACTTTATTCGACTATTCCATTGCTTCCTTGTGGGCCTGAGACGAGAGTTCAAGAGATTTCCAGGACGCATGCGCGAGAACTGACCTTCTTCTTCTACTACTATGTACAGCGCGCGTCTTCCTCTGCTTGTAAGACGAGCGCTGTGTAGTAGAAGAAGAAGGTCAGTTCTCGCGCATGCGTCCTGGAAATCTCTTGAACTCTCGTCTCAGGCCCACAAGGAAGCAATGGAATAGTCGAATAAAGTCGTTATTTTTAAGTTAAGTTGAACAATCAGCTGGCAAAATTGCCTTTGTATGTTGTTAACAGTGATGCACCACCATTATTTGGGAGAGAATGGCTGAGAGCTATAAAACTAAATTGGCAAGACATAAAAACAGTCAAGCATGGAGCCACAGACACTATGGAGACTGTGTTAAAACGACACTCCCAAGTTTTTGGAAAAGACCTAGGCACCATGAAAGGAATTGAGGCAAAAATTACACTCAAGCCTGACCATACTCCAAAATTCTTCCAGCCACGGGTAGTACCTTATGCAATTCGACCAAAAGTGGAGGCTGAATTGACACGTCTAACAGAGAGTGATTTCACCAATGCAGTACAGTGAGTGGGCCACACCAGTGGTACCAGTTATAAAAAAAGATGGCTCAGTGAGACTGTGTGGTGATTTTAAAGTTACACTCAACCCAGCCATTTGTGTGGATCACTACCCAATCCCACGCATAGAAGATCTTTTTGCATCTCTGGCTGGTGGTCAATTATTCAGTAAGTTGGACTTGTCAAGCGCTTACTTGCAGATGCCAGTGGCACATGAGTCAAGAAAACTACTCACCATATCCACTCAAAAAGGGCTATTCTGCTATAACCGCTTACCCTTCGGGATTGCCCCAGCTCCGGCATTATTTCAGAAAGCAATGGATCAAATTCTATTGGGAATTCCAAACACTCACTGCTATCTTGATGACATACTGATAACAGGACGAAATAATGTGGAACACCTCAAGACATTAGACCAAGTACTCACCAGATTGGAGGAATATGGTCTGAGATTGCAGCGTGAAAAATGTGAATTTTTCAGACAGTCACTGGAGTATCTGGGTCACTACATCGACGCAGCTGGATTACACAAATCGCCAGAAAAGATCAAAGCCATAATGGAAGCACCTGCGCCGACCAATGTAAGTCAATTACGCTCTTTTCTTGGGATGATCAACTACTATGGCCGTTTCATTCCAAATCTGACATCTGTTTTGAACCCCCTCAATGCTCTTTTATGTAAGGAAAAGAAATGGTGCTGGAGCGTGGCATGTGAACAATCATTTCAGAAAGTGAAGGATCTCCTTACTTCACCAGCTGTACTCACACACTATGACCCAGAATTACCCATTCGTCTCGCCTGTGATGCTTCCCCATATGGGGTGGGGGCAGTCATATCACATGTGTGCCCCGATGGGGAGGAAAAGCCAATTGCTTTTGCATCCAGGACACTCAGTAAAGCGGAGCAAAATTATGCTCAGATGGAGCGTGAGGCCCTGAGTATAATTTTTGGAATTCGCAAATTCCATCAGTACTTATACGGAAGAAGGTTTACCCTCTTTACGGATCATCAACCTCTAACGGCTATTCTCAGTCCCAACAAGAGCATTCCACCCATGGCAGCAGCTAGAATGCAACGATGGGCTCTGATATTAGCCGCCCATGACTATGTCCTTGAGTATAAGAAAGCAGCCTTACATGCCAATGCAGACGGACTGTCGTGGCTGCCATTACCGGTGACACACGCCGAGAAAACGGACACGGTGGATGTGTTCTATGCTGCCCAGATAGCCACCCTGCCTGTCAGTAGTGCTGAAATTAGACGGGACACCCTAAAGGATCCCATTTTGTCACCTGTGCTGGGCATGGTTTCAACTGGACGGTTCCCAAAATTTAAAGAGGTACCTCAAGGCTTGCTACCTTTGGTGACACGTCGCAATGAGCTCACAGTTGTTCAAGGATGTTTAATGTGGGGAAGTCGTGTCGTGGTACCAATCAAGCTTCGCAACCGGGTGTTAGCTGATCTGCATTTGGGCCATCCTGGGGTGGTAAGGATGAAACTTCTGGCCCGTAGCTATGTTTGGTGGCCGGGTATTGATGGACAGATAGAATCTCAGTCCAAAGCATGCCAGTCGTGTCAGCGTATCCAAAATGCCCCCTGTCCTGCGCCACTTCACCCATGGGTTTGGCCAGCTCATCCGTGGGAGAGGATACATGTGGATTTTGCCGGTCCTTTTGAAGGCCATATGTACTTCATTGTAGTGGATGCGCACTCCAAATGGCCGGAAGTGTCGATTATGGATAGTACTACCACCAGCAAAACCATTCAGGTCTTACGAGGACTTTTCAGTCATTATGGCGTTCCTAATGTCATTGTCAGTGACAACGGTCCCCAGTTTTGTGCTGAGGAGTTTTCACTTTTCCTGAAGGCAAATGGGGTGCAACATATTCGATCTGCCCCAAATCACCCCTCGAGCAATGGGCAAGCTGAACGTTTTGTCCAAACATTCAAACATGCTCTAAAAGCTTCAAAAGGGTCAGCTTCAATCCAACAGAGACTTGATGGATTCATGTTAACATACAGAAACACTCCGCATGCTACCACAAAGGAGTCACCTGCGATGCTTTTCCTCAATCGCAAACTAAGAACCCGGCTGGATCTTCTAAAGCCTAGTCTCGCCAAAACAGTGAGTCAGTCCCAGGATGCCCAGCAGTTCCGACGCCAAAAACACTCTAAGTTCAGAGAATTTCGTGCTGGAGAGTCCGTTGTTGCTCGTGACTATAGAAAGGGGGGAAAATGGATACCTGGAGTGGTGATGTCCAAAACGTGACCTGTCTCCTACGTTGTCAACGTGGGTGCTTCTGGAATCTGGAAACGTCATGTAGATCAATTACTGAAACAAGGGACTGAATCCTCTGAAACCCAGATGGAACCAGAAGTTCCTGCTGGTCCTGATAATTGGCAGGCATCTCCGCTTCAGGAGAACATCGGGGAAAAGACTGACAATCTTGTGGAGGTGATGATTGACACACCAGGGTCAGGCAACATTGACCAATCACCCCCAGGGACTGTACAAACTGGAGAGACTATTAAGCGTTATCCTACCCGTCTCACTAGACCACCTGACCGTTATCAAGCATTCTAATATATATAAAAGGGGATAGATGCATGAAGAGTAAGATGTGTTCACTAAGGAGTGGTCAAAGTTGAATTCAAGAAAACAAATATTCCCTTTGTTGTGTTTGACAACCCTTGATTTAAGTTGGGAGGAAATGTTATGTATTTAGTGTTGGTAACTGGGTTATTGTGCAGTTGTTTTCTTATGCTGCAGATGGCGCTGTGTAGCCATGTGTCCCTTGAACATTGAAACAGTAAAAGAAGTCAGTTCGAAGCATACTCGGTCTCAGTGTGTTATTGTTCGTGATAGCTCCTCAGGATATAATGATATTCTGATAAATGCAACAATAGGCTTACAGGAAGATGGATGGATGGATGGATGGATGGATATAGGCTTACAGGAAGATGGATGGATGGATGGATGGATGGATATAGGCTTACAGGAAGATGGATGGATGGATGGATGGATGGATGGATGGATGGATGGATGGATATAGGCTTACAGGAAGATGGATGGATGGATGGATGGATGGATATAGGCTTACAGGAAGATGGATGGATGGATGGATGGATGGATGGATATAGGCTTACAGGAAGATGGATGGATGGATGGATGGATATAGGCTTACAGGAAGATGGATGGAGATAGGCTTACAGGAAGATGGATAAATAGATGGATGGATGGATATAGGCTTACGGGAAGATGGATGGAGATAGGCTTACAGGAAGATGGATGGATGGATGGATGGATGGATGGATGGATGGATATAGGCTTACAGGAAGATGGATGGATGGATGGATGGATGGATGGATGGATATAGGCTTACGGGAAGATGGATGGTTTGAGATAGGCTTACGGGAAGATGGATGGATGGATGGAGATAGGCTTACAGGAAGATGGATGGCTGGATGGATGGATGGAGATAGGCTTACGGGAAGATGGATGGATGGATAGATAGATAGATAGATAGATAGATAGATAGATAGATAGATAGATAGATAGATAGATAGATAGATAGATAGATAGATAGATAGATAGATAGATAGATAGAACAAAATTGTACAATAATAAACACACAGATCCTCTATGTGCATTGAAAGGATTGTGGCTTAAACTTAATCCTCCAGGTGTCTCTTCAAATATAAGAGAAGATAAGACAGAACTTTATTGATCCCTAGGGTGAAAATTAGGTAAAAATGTACAGGCTACAACATTGCTTATCACAATGTCTGACAGCACATGATCTCACAGGCGTGTTTGAATCCACATCTTCCCCCAGGATGGTAAAGTGCATCTGATGGAGAAGAAGACGGGCCAGCAGGAGGTGCTGTGGAACCCCGGGCCAGACATCCGCAGACAGAGGCTGAAGAGACAGGTGGTGCAGATGGACCAGCAGGAGGCGTTCGAGTCTCAGAGGTACACAAACACTCGTTCAGAAACAGACAACAGGGAAAGAAAGGGCTGCAAAATGGATTGTCTATATGCTATTTTATTTGTTATTTACTAGATATTTCTCCATTGTTTAAGCTGATTTATTTGTTTTTATTTTTTGTATGTATATAAGTTTATATTAATAATTATCATTTGTATACAAATATATTTTATTATTATTATAAATAATTATTATATTATATATATATATATATATATATATATATAAATAATTATTATAAATAATATATATATATACTGTATATATATTATAGAATATAATATATTACTATATAAAATTAAATATTTTTATTTGTTTATTTTATTTTAATTAATATTTATATATATATATATATATATATATATATATATATATATAAATATGAATTAAAATACAATAAACAAATAAAAATATTTAATTACACTGTAACATGGATAGCTTAAAATAAAGTTTCACCAAAACAATATATATATATATATATACACAAAAAATGTACACTACATATATATAAACTTTATTTTAAGGTATCCTTGTTACAGTGTAATTATGCATTTAAGTACTGTGTAATAATAATTAACTACATGTTAGTTAATTAGCATGTAATTATGCATAATTTATAGTTAGTACTACAGTAACTACATGTGACGTGTAACAAGGACTAAAATAAAGCTTTACCATTGTTTTTTTATAGATGTATTTGTTTTATTATTTGCTTTATTGTTTTTGTTCACTTTAATGTATACAAATATATGATGATTTATAAATTTATAACAAAAATATATAGGCATTTTATATTTTTATTTTATTTTTATATTTCTTTGCGATTTTTGTTAAGAAATAAAAGCAATGAATCTATTTCACTTCAAGAGCCTTCAACAAACTCAAGCTCAGCTAAAACATGTACAGTAATGAAATGAAATATTAGCCATTTATATTTTGCTTGCAAGAATGTAGTCATTTCCATGGCTGCCAATGGAGAAAAATGCTTTTTTGTTGTTTTTACCCAGATGGTGTAGTTACTGCATCCACCAGCAGAAGCTAACAGTTCATGCTAACCAGCCAAACCTTGACCCGTTGATAAAATCTACAAAATCACTTCCTAGATCTTCTGAATCTTGACCTCTAAATCACCAAAGAATGTGTCAATCAAAGAATGTGTCAATCAAAGAATGTGTCAATCAAAATGACCTAAACGTTCTGGTTATGTTACTGCCACATCAAAGCGCTGTGAAAAATGTGTTGTGACTAACCAATAATGGCTTTTATTAGACGTCGAGCTTCTAGTGTAAGATGTTTGGTGTATTTCCCTGCAGGCTGTGGCAGCACGTGACCCGAGCGATCACCGATAAAGACCAGAACAGCGCCACCCAGGAGAAGTTTGTTCTGGAAGAGGCTCAGCGACAGGAAGCCCGAGAGAGGAGCGAGAAACCCTGGAACCCACGGCTCTTCACTCTCAATACTGACACTAATGAGTGGCACTACAAATATGCCGAGTATGTTCACGATGAGCCACTTATTAATGTGAACGCTACAGAAAAATAATGTGATTTAAAGCTACATTAACTGATACCCTAATTTCCATTGGTTACAAATGGTCCCCAAATTTGGCAGCATTTCCATAATTGATAATCTCCTCATTACGATTGCTTTCTCAGCACTAAGCCGTGGGATCCGGAGCTCTGCCTGGTACAGTTTGAGAAAGAAGGCATCATCCAGACGAAAGAGAAATCCCAGCGTCAACGCAACAGTTTCTCCTACAGCCAGAACTGGGCTGGACAGAAGAAGGTGAGTCACACGGGAAAGCTAGTGTTTTCTGAAGAGGGATTCTTCCTGGGCTCCTTTAGGTGAGCCGATGGCCCTTCAGGGTGTGTTTGACTCGACAGGTGTGTGTGTGTGTGTGTGTTTCTCAGCTGCGGGTGAATGGCAAACACAGGAAGTCTAGCAGCCAGCCGTCCAGCTGCAGTCAGAACACAGAGAGCAGCAGCACCACACCAGAGCCCAACCACGAGTCATCCGACAACGAAGGCAAGTCATCGTCCCGGCAGACTCACACACACCATAAGCAAACAGAGGTGTTTGTACTCTGATAGTTAAGAGGTGAATAAACTGTGCTTGCGGCAATTCAAATAGTTTGTGAGTCTGACTATTGACTATTACAAAGACGTCCGATTTGGAAGTCGTTTCTCAGATCCACTAGGATATATAAAGGACTAATGATTGACTTCTTTTGCTGTATATTAGAGTAAACTAGTTGCACTTACAAATATAATTTGGACGCAACTTTTAAACGCCTGTATAAAATACGTATACACTATTTGACCATTTAAGAAAACAAACAAATAACAACAACAAGATAAAAAGAACATGAAGTAAAACAGAAAACTGATTAAATCCAAAAAGCTTGAGAACGCTTTTATATTTAAGTGATTATACAAGATAAACATGTAAATAAAATGGAAAAAGAATCGATTTAAATATAATATTTATATAAATATATTTATTTTTATTACGAAATAAAATTAACAAAATTAATATAAAAAAAAAAAAAAAATTATAAAATATCCCAAATATAAATACATGTGTATTATAAAATTATAACTTTTTTTATTATGAAATGAAAAAGTATTATAAAAATAAAGAATATATTATAAAATAAAATGTGTACATATATATAATATGTAATTATTAATATAAAATTATACTGAACAAAAATAAATACTACAAAACAAAAAACTAAATAAACAAATCAATTATTATTATTATTAGATCAATTATATACAAAAAAATAGGAATAAAAAATATTTAATTTTGAATATGTAATTAAACAAAAATAAATATAAAACAAAAATATATAAAACAAATAATTGATTATTTAAAATTAAGATTTATTATTTATTAATAAAAAACTAAATTAAATATTTATTATAAAACAAAGAAAATATGTATTGTGAAATAATATAAATATATATATATAAAAAATATTTAATTATGAATATATAATTATAGTAAACAAAAATTTATACTATAAACCAAAAATATATATAAATAAATAATTTATTCTAAAACAAAGACATTATTAAAGAACAAAAAAATATGTATTATTAAAAAATATATATATATATAGATGTATATATATGGGGGAAAATAATATCTAATTATATGAAACAAATTACACAAAAATATATTAAACAAATAATTTATCAAAAAAAGAATTATAATTAAAAAAATATATATTTATTTAAAAATGTCTATTTATTATCAAATACAATTCAATGCTTGAAAAAAGAACTGAAGACTTCAGATTGCTTTATGTGTCTCGTCTTGACTTCATCAGGCTTTCTGAGCCAGTGTGGAAGATGTACTAAAGAAGTGAAGGACATCGCTCTCATAGAGGCCTCAGTAGCAGCTATACAGAAAACACAGCAAGACATACAGAGGCAAGTACACCCTTTGAAATACTGTAGTCAGTGCTATACTGTATATTTCTAACACTGATCCCTGTTTCTTCAGAAACCTGAGTGCATTGGGTCGTCAGATAGCGCGACACAAGACGGAGGAGGAGAGCAAGTCCTTGAGCGGCCGCCACTGTCTCATCCTCTGCATGCTGTTGCTCTTTCAGCTACTCATCAACTACGTCTTCACTTGAGATGCCGTCACCTAGCGACCATCGCCTAGCAATCGTTGCCTAGCAATAAACACAGCCAAACTATCACCATCACACAGCCCCTTGAATGCCCCACCGTGATGTTGCTACCAACCGTAGCCCACCATCAAGCACTAAGCACTTCAATTAGAGAGAAAGAGACTCTTGTTTTAATTCATATGACAGATAATCATTTAACAGTGGATGTAAGATACTGTACTGCCATTCTTGTTTATTGATGAGTTCCCTCTTCCCTACGCACTGTTTCTTGGCAATATTGGTCATCCATTTGTGTCACATTTGAATGCAGTTGAATGGGTTTTTGTCTGTGTGTGCGTTACCGGCAAACTCCTCTTCCATTTATACACCGGGCCTTAATACCGATGCCAAAAAGGGGGAAAAAACAAACAAAAGAAAAGTCAGTGAAGGCCGCCAGTGCGATTTCTCTATGCTTTCAACCACACAAATTTGCTCATTTTATTATTTTACCAAAACAGTGTTTCTGTATAGAACAATACAAAGAAGAGTACATGTTTACAAACTTGATTGTACACTACACAATGGAAAACAATGCTCCGACACCAAATGCGTAGTGTAGATTTAGATGAAGAATTGACGCTAGCACTATGATAACAGAACGAACAATCAGCCGTAAGACTGAGGGTGGGTTCACACTTGTAGTTCGGTTCGCTTGGTCCGGACTAGCGTTCAGATTGGCATTTTGACACCGAACCTAAAGGCATAGGGATACAACCTGATTGGTTGGCATATGCTTGAGCTTTCTGTCCTTTTTAGGGTCTCATCTTCCTGTTTTTGGTTCGTTTACATGTCTTTGAAATATGAACGCAATACAGACTGGTCGAACCACAACAAAGTTTGTTTGGAAGTGAACCAAGACCCATCTTTTCAGTGGTTTGGTACACCAGGGTTCGGATGGCAGCGTTCACACTTATTCAAATGAACCGCACTAACAGAGCAATCGCACCAGGGTTCGTTTTATTCGAGCCAAACACGTGAACACACACCCTAAGACATTCATATGCATGACTGTTTGTTAGGCATTGGCTTGGTCAGTCCCAATAGAGACACGCGAGGCCTTCTGGGAAGTGCCGGTTCATTGATGTTGCTCCGATGAAGTGTGATACGTTCGATAGCGAAGGCGTGACTGGGGAATCGAAAGTGTATATATTTGTTTGAAACATTTGAAATTGAGAATGTATTTATTTGATCATTTCACTTGATTTGTTTTGTATGTCATCATACTGTTTTTAAGAACACGTTCATTCAGGTTTTCTGGGAGCAAGTCCAGTAGAGCATCATATTGCTTTCTCTACTCGAGGTTTTTATTGTGTTGTGAATTGACCCCTTAGTGGGGAACTGTTAAGGTCAAAGTACAAAGCTTCCAATGCAGGATTCATATAGGAAATTTGTGCTTGAATGATGCTTGTGCTCTTGAGCCATAGTTCAACCCATTGAAATTTAGAAATCATTTTTCATTTGCCTTTTCCTTTTTTTTACAGAGCACTCAGTACAGTTATCTTGCCTGAATGAAACGAATGGCTCACTGTTTGTTAATGATTGTTGCAATTACAGCACCACAGTAAAGTTTTACATTTCGACATGTTGCTTTGTCTTCTTTGAAACATTCACATACACAATAAGGATAGCATTTAGATTAGTTTTACAAAGATTGTTCAAATGTTTTGGGACTGTCAAGGTCGGTCCGCCTACAGCAAGTTGACTGTGCGTCTGCTACCTAATTACTGTATAGCCTATGCGACTTCAGCAGATGATTTAGCTAAACTAACACATTTTCACCTGTCCCACTTCAAGAATCTGAAATATGTGTTTTTTACAACCAGAGACTCCTTAATGTTGTGCCATCTTGGAAAACTCATTTATTTTTAATGTGAGTTTAGCCTGGTTAAAACCAGACCATTCTCAGTTGTAACTGAGTTATGGTCTGGCAAAGCGTCATAGACAAATCATTTCCAGAGGGGCGTCACCAACGGACGTCGCGGATAGACCTAAACCCAATCAGAGCGATGAAGGAGATGACGTATGCAGAGCGGCGGAGAATCTCCGAGTGTTGTTCTTTGCTCGGTTTTTAACAAAAAGGAAACGTTCAAATCGCTTAAAACAGACGCGATAGCTGATTCGAACGAGTGATTATCGACGGCGGCATCCATCTTTGTAATGTAGGCTACAAAATCTGCTTCAAAATCCCAGCGCTGTCGTCATCGTGTAAAGCCCGCCCCAACGTTTCTGATTGGTGCCTCGATTTCGACGGATTGGAAATGGGCTTGAATGAGCTCTTTGCCAGACTAACTTTCAGAGCAAATCTAAATTTGCCGGAAATTGTCTGGGTTTTCCCAGGCTAATGTGAGTTACAACAGCATCTGAAATGTTGACCGTTCTAAGATGGCAGATGTGTCGACGTGTCTGGACACTCAAAACACATTAGCAACATGCTAACAACCACTCAAATACACATTAGCAATATGCTAGCAGTAGCAATCACTTAAAGTGCCCCCAAAATCACATATTCTTTGACTAGATACTTCATTCGATGAGGAATAAACTTCTTATTCATTGAAAAGCATATTCTATCTAATAAGAATGTGTGTATTATAAATGACATCTGGACGTCCTACATTTGTCATGTTGTCATTATCTTATGACCTATACCAGCAGCAGTTGTGTCACTTCACTGCCATTCAGCTTCTCTCCCATGGCCTCATGGTTAGTCAATTTTTCCATTGGACGTGCACGTCAAAATCTCACCGGAAGTAATGAGTCATCTGGGTAGTTTTCGTCAACTGTTTAATATAAACCATAAATTCGGACATGCTACTTGTCTCACATATCATTTTTCACCTACAACTAGTACAAAACTCAGAACATCTTAGTAACATGCTAATAACACACAGAATCTTAGTAACATGCTAATAACACACATAACACCTTAGCAGCTGCCCACCAAAACACCCTAGCAATCACTTGTCAACTACCCACAAACCCTTGCTTTGGGATGGTGAGTTTTGTGCATAAGATTTGGGCAAAAAGTTCAAGTTCATTTTCTGGTTCAAAGGTCTTTGCGGTTGGAGTTTTCTTTTTGTTGTCACAGCAAGCAGTGCTAGGGCTTGTTGTGACATGGTAAAAAGTGTGTAATGTCTGAAAACCCCCTTCCTTCCTTCACTTCCCTGAGTGAATGCAGGCATGTGGAATAAAAGTGCATTATTTGCGGTCTGCTGTGTTATCTGGTTAAAGAAAAAAAAAGAGAACTACTTACTCAACCTACCAATGTAGGTAAAATGTTCATGGAAACTGAATGTAGAAAAAGCCTCCAGGCTGAAGTTGGGTGTGGTTATTTGGGAGCATATGAGTCAGTGATATGCTTCAGTGATTGTTACTTTTAAGCAATACACCGTCAAATAAAGCTGTAGGTTAGGAAACAAGTTCTATTTTAGTACATCTCAATCATGATTGCTTGGTTTTAGGTTATTGCAAAATCAATGTGGCAAGCAGGGCGGGGCAGAGAGCCGTGGGAACGGAGCAGTGCCACAAGTGCTAATGAGCGTCACCTGTACGCCACACCAAGGTCAAGTTTATTTCTAGAGCACATTTAAAAAAACAGAAGTTGACCAAAGTGCTATACAATCCAAAATCATAAAATAAACAGCACAAATAAAATGACAATGAGAAGACAAAACACACAGCTCTCAGACTGAAGTAAAAGCCAAGGAAAATAAATATGTTTTAAGACTAGATTTAAAAGCGGAGAGTGTTGGGGCCAGCCTCACAGACAATGGTAAATTATTCCATAATTTAGGGGCCGCAACTGAAAAGGCTCGATCTCCCCTATTTTTAAGCCTTACTCTAGGGACAGCCAAGAGCATGCAATCTGCCGACCTAATGGAACATGTTTTTGTATAAGGTCAGAGAGGTAGGTCGGAGCTAGACCATTTAAGGATTTATAAGCAAACACTAAAATTTTAAACTCAATCCTAAAATGTACTGGAAGTACACCAGTCTCGAGTCTCACGGAGGAGCTCCAGACGGATAAAAGGAGGAGAAGAGGACCAGGACTAAGCCTGGGCTTTACGTTGTTTTTGTTTATGTTTGTGCGGGAGTCGTCCATGATGGGCTGCTGCTTTACTTTCATTTTGTTGTTTGTTTATTTTATAAATAAAACTTTACATTGGACGTTCGCCGGTTCCTTCCTCCTCCTTCCCTGAGCCTTTAACCTTGTTAAAATCAAGTTTATGCTGTATCCAATACAGAAACTCATAAAGATCATTTACTGTTAACCAGCACTTTGTAAGCATTGAGTCATTTGATAAATGTTTACATGGTAACTGTTTGTTTATTGTCTACATGGTGATCATTCAGTTCATCGAGCCATATGTCAACCCATCACACTGATGGACAAGTTCAGGAGGGACAACAGTAGTTGCAACAGTGCCAAGGCCTACAGGCTACATATCTGCGAGTGGGCGCATACACTGGACCTTTGTGCTTGGATACATGCGGGGGAAGACGGAAGCGCTCTGTAAAGGCAGGGCCTAATTAGGTCACATGTGTGTTGGACTCTGCACAAAAGAATTCCATCCTCCTACAGCTGTGTAATGTGTTTTCTGGGACTACAAAACATGAACATAAGATTTGATGCCTGAGGACAATATGTCTATCAAATGGTCAGACCTCAATAGATGCTTTTAGGTGAATGCAAACCAAACATGATTGACAGTGGGTGTTCAGACAGTACTTACAGTATGTAAGTCTAGACCCTCTGAGGGATGGTGGTCCTCTTGGGTTATTACTGTCACACCTTTCTTTGTTAGCGGTTTCTGAATGCTCGCCTGCAAAGCGTCTTTGTTCAGCTGTAATGTGCCCAGTGTTGTCATACATTTGGAGATTTGCTTCTTTGGAATGTGACTTTCCACAAGGTGGTCTGTGTTGTCTTCTTCATTTTGCTATGCATGTACACATTAGGTACACAGTGTCCCATTCAAAGATAGTTGGTGAAGGGATTTGCTTGTGACAGTCAGTAAGACAATGTTTAGTGTTGCTAGCTTTGGTAAATGCCATGAAAAGGTAGTATAGCATAGTGTCATGTAAGTCGAAGGCTCTTGTCTGATTTTCCACATGGTTTGAGTCATTTGTGTCTTTGAAATGTATTTACAAACTACATCATTTCAAAAATAACTTTTCAGTTTTCTGGGCAACTAGTCAGTTGTAAGAAACTCACAAAGCCAAGGCATTGTAGTGTGCATATATCCTGGATAAAGTTACAGTTAACTAGA